CCAAAGGAGGGGAAATAGATTCCCTTAAACAAAGTTAATATATTTAATTATTTTAATTGACAAAAGGGTTGTTTTTCCTCATGTGCTAGGCACTTTAAATTCAGCACATGCTTAACAGTAAATATATGCATTCAAGGTCATGGTATACACATGATCCATTTTCAGACTTTTCACAATAGCAAGTCTCAAACGGAAGTTTAAATCATCCAGAGAATGGCCCGGATAGGCTTGTTCTGAGGCTCATGGAGGTATTGTCTTCCGAAATTGCCTGTGTAAATCACAGGGATTTTTAGTGGATTTATTGTTAGACAGGAGCAGTATCATTTGGTGACACCAATCCTGTGAGTTTCAGTGAGATCATTGGTTTTGATTGCTTAGAATGTAACCCTTAAAAGAAACATCATGAACATATTTACTGGTTGTAACTGGAAATAAGAAGCTTTTCTCATGAAGAATGTTAATAGCGGATGGAATGGTCTGCATCTTTGTGTGTGTGTGTGTGTGTGTGTGTGTGTGTGCATGCTCATGCATATGTGTACTTTTGAGTTGCATTAAAAATAGAAAAATCCATAATTGAGAGTTCCTGTTCACTCAGCAAATGCTGTAGTAGTTCGCTGATAAGTTAAATACAGTAAGCTTTTCCATCACGAATTATTCAAGGTCTCTTTCAAGATGTCATTCCTGTATATCTGAAGACAGAATACATTTTTAAAAAACATATTTGCCAGCCTCATATGAATATGCAGAATGACAAAATCCCCAAAGACCCCCAAATCTCTCAAGGACATTACAGAGAGCAGAATAGTCTCAGCTTTAGATTGGAAGAGAAATATCTGAGTGTTGTTTTTCACTCAACAAGTATCTTCTAGTGTGTTAACTTCACTGAGGAAACATTGAGGTCATTGATTATATTTTTAACAAAAAACATAGAAGAAATGGATTTAAAAACAAAATTGTTTGAACCAGAGAGTATACCTTACATGCAATCAGATTTCCAGCCCCATACATGGTCCCTTCAGGAACAGGCCCTAAGCACTGTCAGTTGTGGCCTAACTATCAAAAAATAAAAACATTTAAAAAATTGTTGCTGCAGTTGTGACTGATTGCTTGTAAGATATAGATACAAAGATCTCGTTGGTGTAGAAGTAGGTGATAGAGATAGAAATCTTAAAGGAAACAGAGAGACATACAGCAATATGCGTCCATGTGGGAACCTCCCAGGGAATGTTCAAAGGCTTTGGGACAGATACTCTAGTGACTCTTGACAAGACTCTGCAAAGCTCAGACCCAGGAATGATGCCGCTTAAATCCAGCAGTGCTGGAAGCTACCAGGCAACACCAGTGGTACTCAGCGTCTCTCAGTGTTATACTCAGTGTTGCAAAGGAGCACTGCATTACCAGAGATGGAACTCAGACACATATGAGGCAGGCAGCTCTGACTTCAGAGCTGTCTCCCAAGCCCTAGTCTAAATTCACACAGAGGAGACAGTAGAGCTCTAGAAAGGATAAGTCCTTTTTTCTTTCAATGCTTCCCATCACCCACATTCTTTGCTAGCAGCTCATTATCCTCCTTCGTTTATTTATTATTGCTCAAAATGGTTATTAAAAGCCTGTAATGGTCACGGCATATGAGGACAATGTGCTCAAGAATACAGACCCTGTCTCCACATATCTCAGAATTCAAAGTCCAACAGTAAAGGAGATTATACAATGTTATATGTTAAGTATATTTAAATCATTCAAGTGTTTTATTCAGTTTTTTTTGAGCATCTGTTATGTGCCAGGCACTGTGCTAAATCCTGAAGATATAATGTCAAATAAAATAAAGTCATAGTCCTACAGTCTAATGGACCACATGCTCATTAAATAATCCCAACCTTATGACTGTTTAGTTGGGAACTCAGAGCCAAATGAATCATGGACCAAAGGGCTGCATGGCATGCGAACCGATGCCAAATGTCACTTTGGCTTACACAGTCCTTTTCCCATTTAAGAAGAAAAACAGATTAGTGTTTCTCCCAGTCAGAACCCTCCACCTGGGAAGGTGATGTCACTTGTGATTTGGGGTTGCTGAAGATCTTGCAGCAGCCTGGCCTGGAAGGCAGGGGACCTGGCTGGCGGCATCAGTGGTGTCATCAATAGCTGGTAACAACTTGACTTCAGTCTCATGACAGGGGAAGGTAGAAACATATGGAGCATCCAGTTAGACCAGCATGTCTGGATGGAAGACTCGGAATTGATGGGCTTTCTGGGTTGACTCTCTCCCACTCCACCCCTGCTACACTCACTCACACAAGAAACCCTCCCCGCGGGATGCTAGGACCATGGCCAAAAGAAACACTGTCCCAGAGAGGGAAGCTGCAGCCAAGGTCCTGTTTCACCATCACTCCAGCTGCCTGCTGCCAGCTCTGCTATTTGGTGGATATTATTAACCACCACCCCCAATTCTCACATCTCTGGGAAAGAAGTGACACACCCAGCAAATGACTCATCCAGTCCCTTGTGCTCACAGAACTTAGTGTCAGTGTTGTTAGAAAGTGCCGTTTCACAGGACTGGGGAGATGGTACAGAGGCACGCCCCTGACCCTGGTTCCATCTCTATCCAGCACCACATGACCTGTCCTTGCCCAGTACCTCCCTATGTAGACCTCGGGGTCCTTCTCCCCTGCAGCAATGCAAAGTGGTGCTAGTGGTTCCAAACAAGACAGACCTGACAAACACTGGTTCATCACTGGGATTGAACCCCTGACCCAGCTGGTTGAGTATGGCTGGGACTGGCCCCCAGAGTTTCTTGAGCATAATTTGGGGAAGCCCTTTGCCAAAATTCAACAAATAAGAAAGAGATAATGTCCTGGGGATGGAGGAAAAAAAAGCTTGTCCATCTCCCACCATTGCTAGTTTTCAAGTCAGTCTATCAGAAACTGCCTTGTTTTTGAAGAATTGAAGATCGAGCTCTTTCTTAAATGTCTTAAATTGTTGCTGTTGTTGTTATTAGGGCAACACCCAGTGGTTCTCAAGAGTTACTCCTGGCTCTGTGCTCAGGGATCACTCCTGCCAAGGTTTGGAGGACCATATGTGGTACCAAGCATCCAATCTGGAATGGTCCCATGCAAGGCCCTACCCCTACCTTTATATTTTAAAAACAATATACTTTGAAATCTTTCTCGCTGTGTTTTTAAATGATCATCAAAATGGTGGGCTTTTGTTTATGTTTTGCCAGGCTTACTCTTCCAGGCTACTTAGATTTAACACCCTTTGACTAAAACTTTTCAAGTGGTGACTTGTAAAGGTGCTGCCTTGTGACCAGATTGGATTTGTCTCTTATTTGAACACCGTCTCGTCTCCACACACCGCTTCATAATTGTATGCAGTCACTTACTTCTCCCTATCTTTGCCATGGATGTCATCTGATTTTTATTTCTCTTCTAATATGTACTCCTCTACAAAATTGTTTAGTTTCTGGGATTTTCAAGCCTTCTTCAAAAATGTGTTTGATTTTTTGAAAATTTGTTTATTCTAGGCTATTTGCTCTGCACTTTTGTTCTATTTCTGTCCCCAAAGATTTTCTTCTTAGAAATTGCAAGCATTATCCTGAAACTCAACTCTTCTCTGAAATGCTTACTTATATTACAGGCTTCCTAGCTTATGGCTTTTTAGCTTTCTTTTCTAAGACACCCATATCACTTTGAAAAGCAATTTGAGAGGGCATGAAAAAATAAAATTGAAAGTGATTAATATTGTAAAGAACATGGTAAATGAGGAAACTTTCCCAGTGTTTGTGACGAAAGCTGGTAAAAGATAAGGGAATAATAACTTTCCTTTCCACTTTGTTTCCTAGGTTGTATTCTCCATTTTAACCTGGCAAGTCTCTCTCCAACTTTATTTTCACTAGCTTTGTTTTCACAAGATTTTTTTTTTTAAAAAAAACTCTTCACAGATTAACTTCCCTCATTTACCTCTTATTCAGTTTCCTCTTCCCAACCTATTATCAGATCCTCTCCAAATACCCACTTAATTACATTCCTGTACCACTGTCCTGTAACACTTTCCTCCTGTTCATCAAATTGCTCTAACGAGCACAAGTAACGTCTCCATTGTGAGACTTGTTACTGTTTTTGGCATATCGAATACATCACAGGGAGCTTGCCAGGCTCTGCTGTGTGGGTGGGATACTCTCCGTAGCTTGCCAGGCTCTCTGAGAGGGGTGGAGGAATTGAACCTGGGTTGGCCATGTGCAAGGCAAATGCCCTACCCGCTGTGCTATCACTGCAGCCCAATTTTTTGCCCACTGGAGTATTATTGAGGGGGTAGATGGGGGTGCTGTGCTTCACAGGTGTCTTGAAATTGAAGTCCCTCTACTTCTTGAGTTCATGGTCAAATAGAAGTCTTAATACTACTCATGTTTCATTTGATTCCAGAAATATACACCTTGCCTTGGCTCTATCTAACATTTCTGAAATGATAATTATGATATATTCTAAATTATATATATTTATAAAATATACTCATCTCTACTCACATTCACACATTTTAAGTCAAAAAATAAAACACTCAATAACAAATCACAAATCATCCTGTTATTCGTCGATTGCCTCGAGCAGGCCCCAGTAACGTCTCCTTCATCCTAGCCCTGAGATTATATTCAAGGCTCTTTAGGAGAATAAACTGAATAAAAAAAACTGTATTTCTCCTACCACTTATTACACCCATTGGTATTTAGTAAACATGATTAAAAACAAATAAAGCATACCCTACACAGGTAAAGGAGTATCTACCATTGTTCCAAAACACTCTATTTAATTTGTGCAGAAAGATCAATGACTATTTTGACTTGAAAAATTGACAAAAGTTTTTTTCTTCCTAGGAGCTTCCTTTATTTAAACTATATCAAAACGTTTGGGAATAAAATGGGATTTTCTAGCATGCAGAACTGAATGTTGACTTTCTTTTCAAGTTGACATAAGTTCTCAGTATTTTTCTCTTCCCTTCTCTCTGTTCAGATGCTCAGCCCACAGAAGGAGAGAGAGAAATATGGAACCAGATCAGCGCGGTGCTCCAGGATTCTGAGAGTATCCTCACAGACCTGCAAGCTTATAAGGGAGCAGGACCAGAAATCCGAGAGGTATGCCAATGATAATACTAAGTTGCCAGTTCCCTTGAAGAAGAGCAGAAATCCACACAAGCACACATTCAGCAAGATTAAGTAATAGCCTTAATATTTCCTATCATACTAGGAAAACAAGGAAGGCAATGGGTCCTTAAAAATATGTGAATGGTCCCTTTGATTCTAGCACATTAATCTGAACACTCAGTGATGTAGGTCATGTAAAATAAGACCTCTGATACTGCAAGAGTCACCTATAAGAAAATTTTCAGTGTACTGCTTCATTTAAGGGATATGTACATAGAAAGTCTGTGAACAGCAATTGGAATATGAGCCATAGTGTCTGGATTTACATGAATGTCCCAACATTTTTTAGTAATTTTGGCAGGTTCCACCAGAATCAGAAAGAACAGCTATACAATATATCCCTTGAAGGAGCCTACATATCTGTCACTTTGAAATGATTTATGAGATTAAAAAATAATAAATATATGAAAAACAGAACAATTGCTCAAACAAAAAAGGTTATTGTTGGTCTGGTATTTGAGACTTCACAACACCTGAAAAGAAAAAAATCTTTTTTTATTTGAAATAATGAGTTTTGTGAAAGTATCAATACACAGACAGACAGACACACGCATGCACACACACACACACACACACACACACACACGCATACACAATTTACAGCCATGCCCACAATCCTTCTGAAAAAAATTATAATACTCCAAAGGCATTTCTATGAAGGCAATAAGCTGTTAAGAGGTTGTTTTTCTACTTAGGAGTTGCCATTTAATTTAGCTAAGTTAGGGAGCATCATACATTGTGATATGGTTTGCTGCCATAGAGAAAGGCAAACCTCTACAGTCAGTACTTTATAATGAACATTAGCACTACAGTAGAAAAATCAAATGACAATGGAAAAGGATTGAATTACTTCCAATTAGTTGCGCATCTACTTTATTTTTTTCATTTAAGATAAAAGAAACAAGATGGGATCTAATTGGAGAGCCATTCGCATTATATTTAAGTACCAAAAATCTCCATATTAACTGAACATTTCAGAGATCAGTCCAGAGAACTGATGTCAGTATTAGCATAGTACAACAGAAATGTTTTCTTTTCTCAACTAAAACCCTTTCTCAATTACAAGTCATTTTTATGTGGTGACAATTATCTCTTTTTAACAGACACTTCCATGTCTTTGCAGGCAATTCAAAATCCTAATGACATTCAGCTTCAAGAAAAAGCTTGGAATGCTGTGTGTCCTCTAGTTGTAAGGCTAAAGAGATTTTATGAGTTTTCCATAAGACTAGGTGAGTATGTGTTAATAGTTTTCATGTCTTTCTCGTGTGAAGTTCTTTTACAATGTTTGAGGAAGTAACAGGAAAATTTGGTGCCTTGGAAAATGTGCCACATTAATCCAACTCTGTCTGCTCAGAAGCTATATATGGGCAAAACACTTGTAGTTTCAGTTCACAAAAAGTTTCATTCCTTTCATCTGTGAGCATGTTTGGGGTGTTTCTGTTGGTACATTTCCCTTGGTCTTGTCCTCAGCTAAGTCAACTCCCAACCAAGTATGGTCTGATCTGAAAACTGAATTATTGAGAAGTAGGAAAATGCAAGTTACCTGCTAAGCCTGAAAAAGAACTTGGTTTACTGAAGATGTGATAAATTTATTACAGGAAAATATAAGTAAAACTATACTCCTATGGGCTGGAGTGATAGCACAGCGGGTAAAGCATTTGCCTTGCACGCGCCCAACCCTGTCGGCCCAGGTTCGATTCCTCCGTCCCTTTCGGAGAGCCCAGCAAGCTACCAAGAGTATCTCACCTGCACGGCAAAGCCTGGCAAGATACCTGTGACATATTTGATATGCCAAACACAGTAACAACAAGTCTCACAATTGAGATGTTACTGGGCCCGCTTGAGCAAATTGATGAACAATGGAAGGACAGTGGTGACAGTGGTGATACTCCTATAGTTTAAAAATTATAACTCCTAAGTATTTTTTTTAATTTTGAGGGACTCTCCAGTAATTCTTAGGGGGAGTACTCCTGAGTGTGGGTGGTACACAGAACATTAAATGATGCTAGAGGAGTTGAACTTGGAGCCTTGTGCACGCAAGTCATGTGCTCTGTTTCTAGAACTAATTACCCTGACCCCTATACTCTTCTCTTCAGGTTTAAAAAAAAAGTACTACTAAGGTGCATGATGATTTTGTAGACGCAATAATCAAATTCAGTCTAGTTGACAGCAGGTGTATTATAACCATTCCATTCAATATCAAACAGTCCCTTTGATTTCACTGATTAATCTGGAATTGGCTAGGTAAAAATGGAAAAAGTTATGTTCTTCTTTTATTTTGCCTTAAATGAATGCCATACTGCAAGCGGAAGCAAAAAAAAACCTGAAATAAATACTTTAGGTATTTATAATAGCAGTGTTGTTGCTTGAACTTGAAGCTAACACTCCAAAGACTAGTTGTGTAAAGTCACCACAAATTTTCAAGGAGAGAGTTTCTGAAAATCTTTGAGTTCAAGAGAAGTTGATTTCTCTTTTTAATTTCTCATAGTATTTGTCTAGACAAGTGTTGATTAAGCTTTTTTTCAACTGTGGCCGCCTTCCAACCTATCTTTCTTCCTGTGACCTCAACATCCTGCTGGTTCACCTCCTAGTCTTGGGCTGTGGTCCCAACTTATGCAATTTTCACTTGTAGCCCCTTGGAATACCTCGGGGACCCACTAGTGGTTATAGTAGTCCCCACTTGAAAAACAGTGATTTAGATCAACTCTATGAACTAAACTCTTAACAAACGGAAATTATGTCACAGTTATCTCCCGGAAGAGATCAAGACACAATTGACTGCCTCAAAACAGTGCATTGTCAAAACACCGTGCATTGCCCTAGGTGAAAAAGACTAGAAATTTCCTTAGAAATATGTTGAAGAAAAAAATAAAAGAAATATTTAGAAACAGACAGAATAATGAGATAGATAAGGAGGAAAATAAAGTTAGATAGGGCACTGGTTTTGTAGAAAAAATTATCCTGGGGATTATTAGGTCAGAGTATAGCTGCTAAAAATAGCTGAAATACTACCAGAATTCTGTCTCTACAAAGAATTGTTTGACCCACATGCTTGTTGTCTTAGACTGTGAATCCATGCACATCATCTCAAATACATATTTGTGGTTATCCAATAGTATTAATAATTGAACTCCAAAATATGTGAGAGTCCAGTTGAGCTTAGAGAGCCAGTATCATCATGGGACTTCTGTGAGTGGGGGCAGGTAGAGAAGAGAACCTGCTCTGGTATAAGGGGCTTCTTCTTTTCCATAGGCATGTACACACCCCCTCCCCCCCCACACAGTGATGGACAAAGACGTAGGAAGACACAAGCAGATGACCACAGAGAATGTCAACTAGGGTTGAGAATTGTCCTTTCCTAAAAAGTTATGGATCTCCCTAAACTCCCTCAAATATCAATCCCTTTGGCTTTCAGAAAAAGCTCTTCAGAGTTTGTTAGAATCTCTGACCTGTCCACCCTACACGCCAACCCAACACCTGGAGCGGGAACAGGCCCTGGCAAAAGAGTTTGCGGAAATTCTTCATTTTACCCTTCGATTTGATGAGCTCAAGGTGAGGTCCCATCTTCTCTGACAATTTCCCAAAGGTACAGAGTCCCTGCTATACACGTGTCCATCTCGATAGTGCTGGGAGGGAGTAGGGCAGACAGATTAAGAAGAGGAAGATCTGTCTCTGGAGAGACAGAGAATGTAAGGTGAGTTACATTTCTTTTATGTCAGAATGATAAAAGGACTATGGTTCGTACACAAATATTCAAAATCTGCTAAATGCAGCAAGGGAAAACCTTCTCAAGTATCGTGAATAAAAAAAATGTGCTTTTCCTGAAATCAATAAAAACAGCATAATTTAAAACAGTGAGGTCCTGAGTAAGTTTATTCCTTTGTTTAGGTTTTGATCTGGGGTCTACACCCACTGGTCTCAGGGTTTATTCCTAGTTCTGTACTCAGGATCACTCCTGGCTGTGCTGAAGGACCCTTTGTGGCATCTGGATTGACCCAGTTCACCATGTGGAAAGCAAATAATTTAACCCCTGTTCTCTCTTAGTCTCCTGAGAACTTATTTTTAGCCTAAAGTAGTTTTGACTCCTGTAGCAAAGAGAAGTTCCCGTGTATTTACAAAACCAAATGTCTGGCCTTCTCATTCCTGTGCCTGATCTGAAACTAAGACATGACCTTCCTTTCTTTCTTTCAAATTTCAGATGAGGAACCCAGCTATACAGAACGATTTCAGCTACTACCGAAGGACAATAAGTCGCAACCGTATCAACAATATGCATGTGAGTGTCATTGTCTCCTGGGCCTACATACCCCTCCTCTATGGCTCTTTTTATTTCTACACTAGACAGAGAACAGGGAGCAGACACTAGCATTTCAGTTGATTTTTTAGGGCACAGTGTTTGGGAATTTTGATAACCTCTTTATCATCAGCATCTTTTCCTTTTTTCCATCAGCTAGACATTGAGAATGAAGTCAATAACGAGATGGCCAACAGAATGTCCCTCTTCTATGCAGAAGCCACACCCATGCTGAAAACCCTTAGCAATGCCACAATGCACTTTGTCTCTGAAGTAAGTGAAAGCAAATGACAGGATGCATTTCTCTTAAATGTACATAAATGCAGCTTGGAAGCTTAACGTGCATTTGTGTCTCCATTTAGAACAAAACTCTGCCAATAGAGAACACCACAGACTGCCTCAGCACCATGACAAGTGTTTGTAAAGTCATGCTGGAAACCCCGTAAGTAAATGGCAGGTGTATTTGTGGCCAAGACTTAATTTACACAGCACCTATTATGTTGATGGTAGTTGGTGGTGTGGGTGTGATACTGCGGCTGCTGCCAACCAGGATATTTGACATTTGGGTCAGAACATATATGTCATGTGAGTTAAATTGATAAGGAACTCTGGGGAATAAGAGCAGTTATTCTCAGATTTTAGTTGAAAATGCTGGGATACATACTGCTTGCCTGACTTTCCAGAGGTTGAGTATGGTATTGGATGGCAGAGCCCAAACTCAGAGACTATAGAGATTGTGTCAGAACCAAATGGAAGATCAAGTTCCATGACTAGATATGAAAAGACTTAGATTCAAAGGGCTAGGAGAGAGTACAGTGGTTAATGTGCTTGCCTTGCACATAGCCAATCCAGGTTTGATTCCTGGTCCCCTTAGCCTGCCAGGAGTGATCCCTGAGTGCAGAGCCTGGGGCAGCCCCTGAGCATTGCTAAGTGTCACACCAAAACAAACAAAAATAGAATCAATAATAGAAGTGGTAAAGCTGTTCTGACTGATTTAAGATTGATAATAGAGATTTCTTCTCTTTCTTCTCCCCTCATGTCGTTCTCCATCAACCCCTATATATTTCATTGTACCTAACTTAGTAGTTTTTAAAAAATCGTTATTGTTGAGGATGAGACTGCATAATAATATAGAAATCTGCACTCATCAGAGCCAGGAGTAACCCCTGAGCATCACTGGGTGTGACCAAAAAAGTCAAAATAAATGAATAAATAAAATAAATCTTAAAAGAAAAGAAATCTGCACTCAAAAGTCAAGGATACATTATTACCAAAGTCCAACATGTATGCAAACACGTGATCTGACCAACTGGCCTGGATGTCCTCCCCCTTTCCTCTACTGAAGTTCCCAAATGTCCTCTACCTTACAGTATACTGGGGAGAGCTAAATCCATCAATTTTTATAAGAGTGCCTTATAAAAGTCTATGCTCATCCAAATGTAAGATGGCATTCATTTCAAATATTTCAGTTATTCCAAACAAGAGTTATTCAAATATTTCAGTTATTCCAAAGAAGAGTCAGATATTATAATTTTGTTCATTGTGGGGCCCATTCATAATAAAATAAATCGTAAGAAAAATCTCTAGAATTCACCTGCACTACATGAATTATCAGGGACCCTGTCAAGGTAAGTGGGCAAAATTCAAACTCTGCGAATACCCTCAGTCTGGTAAATGGTACATAATTTCTTTTACGTATTCTTGCCAATCCAATTCAATCTGCAGACGGTGTCTTAACAAAGGAAGTTATCCTGACTAGAGACATGATAGCTGCTCTGTAGAAATGAGCCTGGTTCTTTTTCTCCATAATGAAGCCATTATTCTCTATAATCTTGGACAGCCAGAGGGACTTGCTATAAAATATTCAAGATTGATGGGTGAGGGAGTGATATACATGATGAGCTGGCTCACTGAAGGGCAGAAGAGAAGAGAATTTACTGCCTTCTAATTTAGCTTATTTCACATTGAATTGCTGGTGGAGTAGATTCCAGGAGAGTTATCACAGGTTTCTGTAAGAGCGTATTAACCTGATGGTTGCAGGTCTGGATTTGTTTTCAAGAGAGGATTAGAAGAGTCTAAAGTTGCCATTTGTGAAGCCTGAAGAAAAAACAAATGTGTTCTGACAAGGCACAAGACAAGTAACACCGTTGCCATCTCGTCTCTCTTCCAGGGAGTACAGGAGTAGGTTTACAAGCGAGGAAACGCTGATGTTCTGCATGAGGGTGATGGTGGGCGTCATCATCCTCTATGACCATGTCCACCCCGTGGGAGCTTTCTGCAAGACATCCAAGATCGACGTAAGAATTGTTAGGCTATTTGCAAACCAGTGCTCCACACAGATCTTTATTCTCTCCTCCTCCATTCCCCAAAGAGAGTGATGACTGCGGGAGCCCATGCCCGTCTTGTCTGCTCTCCTCATAGCAAACACTCCTCTCTCTGGATGCTTCCAGGGAAACACCTAAGCTCAAAGCACAGCAGAAACTTGGAGGTTCAGAGCCCCTCCACCTGTATAGATGCTGAGTAGCTGGACAGTCATTTGGAGCTGTGAGCTGCTCTTCCATTGTACCCTGTATGCCATACAAAAATATTTTTACATATGCCCTATAAAACCATAAAGGCAGTATAATGAAAAAAATTTGGTATATGTGTCTAATATGGAAGCAGTTAAAAGTTAATGGATTGTAAAACACCATCGACAAAATCAAAAGCCTTCCAACTTTCTATCACTCCCACCAGGTTGGGGCACCCAATTTTCATGCCTTTTCTTGTCAATGGAATTTATGTGAGCCCCACCCTGCTCAAAGCATTCTCCCTCTTCCCGGATAGGTGGGTTTCAATAAGACAAGCTGTAAATGTCACCTCATCCAAGATCATATTCTCTGCTCTCGGATTAAAGCCTTCCTCTTCCTCTGGTCTTCAGAGCTCTTACCATTTTGAATTTTCTGATTCCTTTACAGGTAGTTGTTGGCAGGGGTAGTGCCATGATCTCTGCAGCTACTTTCTTCTTTATTGCCTAGCCCTGTACCACTCACAGACCATGACACTCAATAGATGCCCCATAGAAAACACTTAGATGTACAAGTGATTTCTTCCTGATTGTGTTATCAAGAACCCTCCTCTCAGCCCAGCATTTGTCTGGAGTATTACCCAGAAGTGAACCCAAAGTAATGATTTGAAACCTTTTCACTGCAGAATATCATTAATGTTACTAACTTACTGTGGTATGGTAGAGTTTGGTTGACCCACTCTATATTAATTCAGCTGTATAGAACAGGCTCTCTGATGCTCGAGCGCTTTGTAGATAGAAAGTATATTTCCAGACGGGTTGAGTCTGAAGGGATATAAGGAAATGTACCAGGTAAAGCACAACTTATATTGCTGTTTAGAGTTATGACTTCTCAACATAGATTGTCATGGGTCTTCACAATCTTTTTATTAATTCAAATGTAAATTCTTTCTGTTTACTAAAGAAACCACCTTTGGACCAGATTGATAAAAGAGTAAGACACCTGTCTTGCAAGCAGACAACCCAGATTTGATTCTTGGCACCACATATAGTCCTGTGAGCACAGAGCCAGGAGTAGACCCTGAGCACATCTAGGTGTGCCCTACCCATGACCTTTAGTATAAAATTTTTGAAAAACATAGGAAATACAATATTGAGAAAATGAATGTGTCAGTAGTAGTTTCACTGTACAAAGATGACTACTCAAGTTGAAAGCATATAAAAGTCTAGTGAGTATATATGTACATATATATTAAACATAGCCTTCTGCTGCTATTAGTGTTATTTTAAAACACTTAATTTGCATTATTTCAAGTATCTTATAGGTATTTTGTACTTATCAATGAATATCTTACTGTGTTATTTGTGATGCTTTTAACTTTTTTATTTGTTTTGATTTTGCATCATACCAAGAGGTGGTCTAGTGCTACGCCTGCCGTGATGCGCCAAGGACTATGTGATATTGGGAGGAGGTCCTGAATTCAGAGATCCATGTGCAAAGCATGCACTCTAGCCAATTGAGCCATATTTTCAGCCTAAACATTTTTTATACTACAGATTATAAAATATTCTATTTATCATCCGTTGTTGTTATCACTTGCTTATTCACACTCATAAGACATTCTCATTTACCCTCCACATTTAACTGGTCCAAAGGACAGCAATTAAGATTACATTGTACACAATTACATTTTCAGCCATAACCTTCTGTCTTTTTCAAAAGCTTATCATCTGCTTGTCATCTACTGAACCTTTTTAGTGAGGTCCTAATTATCCAACAATGATGCTAAATCTGACCACGTGAAATATGTTTTTGCTTGTTTTAATGCAGGTCTCACAAAAACAAAAGATTTATTCTTCCTGAAATTTGTATGAGTCTCTAAGAAAGTCTTTTTTTGTTTGTTTGTTTGGTTTGAGTTTTGGGCCACACCTAGCAGTACTCAGGACTTAATTCAGGCTCTGCTCTCAGGGGTAGCTCCAGGCAGTGCTCAGGAAACCATACAGGGTGCCAGGGATCGAACCTGGGTAGCTTGTGTGCAAGGTAAGAAGCTGACCTGCTGTACTATCACTTCAGCCCCTCTAAAATCTTTTTGGATTTCTGAAACTAATCTGCTTCTCATCTTCTAGCAGTTTCATGATCTGAGTATATAAAACTTAGGGTAGCAGCATCTGTGAAAAGTCTATATATTTTTAAGGTCCTGAAATAGGTTCTGAAAGTGAGTTTTCATGAGCATACCCTGGAGTCCAAAAGAGGTAAGTGGAGTGTTCTTGAAATCTAGAAGAGGTGACACCCAGACCCCTCACAGACAGGGTCACAGGCTGATGTCAAAATTTGAAGAAAAGAAAGGATTTCACATATTCCCCCATTGCTAGAGAAGAGGAAAAACACCAAACGGAGACCATTCTCAGGCAGTCATAGAGATCAGGGGTTACCTGTCTTCCATAGAATAGACACTTTGCTTTGGGGACAGAGAAGGCAGACTTGAGTGAGATGCATTTTCAACTTATTTCCCTAGAATTGTTTGGAATATTCCAAATAATCACTCCTGAACTCCAGTCCCCAGCCCAAGCTGTGATCCAAATTCCAGACCCAACCTCCTCTGATAATTGAAATATGGCTGGCAGCAAATCAAAGATAATTCTTACTCCACAAACCTATTACTCCTCCGCAATTCCTGACTCCAGTATTCACCATCCTCCAACCTAATCGTTAACCTGGATTTGTCCTTGAGAACCTAGTAATTACTATTTTCCCTCTTCTAACTCCTGTATCTTTCAGTCACCAAATACGGTGGACTGCATTTTAGCTGAGTCCTCAAATCTCCCCATCTCCTCCCTCCAAATCTCACCCCCCATTCCCGAACACTCCAAATTCTGTGCTTAAGGCTCTTACTGCTCCTGTATCCAGTCTTGAATTCTTATAATACCCTTCATTGAAATCACAGTGCTGGATTGCTTAATTCTTGTCAAGTATTTATTCTGCAAGAAAGAATTTCTAACATCATAAAACCTACAGTTTTTATCCTGTCCTGACCATATCATTGGATAAATCATTTTATTCACACCTTAAACTTTATACTACCTGAAATAGGACTGGAAATTCTGAGTGCCCATTGTCCTTCCATAGTTTTAAAGATCTATGTTATCTAGTTTTTTGGCATGTTTTATAATAACACTTCACACTATGATTATAAATGATGTGCCTGTCTTTTTCCACTTGGCCAGGAGCTCCTTCAGGAAGATGGACAGAATTTTTGTATTCTGGGGCTTGATCCTGTCCTTGGAAGTCATCAAGCTAAGAGTGGTGTATCCACCAAATGTCTGTAGCCCCTCTCGAATCCTCACCCATGCAGTCAACATCTCTGATTGACTACAGCTTTTTGTCCTGATGAGACTTTATGTGACCATGACCCCCGTATGAATCACAATCCTGTGCTACAGGCTAACTGTATCAAATTATTAGGGTTCAGCTGGCCTTTCAGATGAAAAAAATTGGCATACCAGAAGTATACCCACAGAAAATGTCTCTAAATGACTTCTATAAAGAGGCTCATTGTATTCCCTAATCCAATATGGATATCTAAGTTTTAAGTGAATGATTGAATTCTTTGCAGAAAGCGTCTTCCCTTGCCAAAGAATTAGTCTAGGCTATGCATAGTATAATGTTATCTTGATCAATGTCATTTTCATGCATTTCTCAAATTATGAATGTTATATTCCAAAGCATAAAAAACTAAAACTTCATGTAAGTTAACACAGATACTAATCTAGAAGACATGATGAAACCTGGCCATTGCCCTAAGTGGTTTATATGCTTGACTGTTGTCTTTTACCAATCCTCCGCTTGTCTATTAAGGGAGACACATGAATCTGTGCGTTAAAGTTTATCTCACAATACCCTTATACTATCAGGAACAACACAAAGAAGTAGTGGTTGCTTCTCCCTGGTGAAGGTAATGAGGTCAAAGGGGTTTCCTAGAGTTAGTGATAGTCAACTGAGTCCTAAAAACATTTGTCAGAGTTTGCCTGTCAAAGAGCTGAAGGAGAAAAGGCATTCTATTGGATTTATAATTCAATGAGTCTCAACCGTGTACTTAACTTCAGGCAAAACCTGCATCTGGCTCTGGAGTATAAGATCAAAATCATAGACGTGCAACTTAATGTCAGATATGTGAGATGTTCACTTGCAACAACATAATGTGAAAAATGATCCAGAACCTTCTAGAATCCCATAGAGAAACTCCCTAACTTGAGGATTTAGAAGAGTTTATTGGTTATTTTTTATGCTTCGTTTCTCTAGACAGAAATAATGTGGTATTACTTGGGATAGATGTTGTTTTGATAAGATTATAGAATATTAACAGAATGTTCTTTCTCTATTCAGATGAAAGGCTGCATAAAGGTTTTGAAGGAGCAGGCCCCAGACAGCGTGGAGGGGCTACTGAATGCCCTCAGGTGAGCTGCAGCCCTGTGGGATCCACCTGAGGGGCTATAAAAACTTCACACTGATGACCAAGCTAGATGCTGTTTGAGACCAAGGGCTAAAGCCCAGGTGTAACTTTGGCATGTCTTAGGACAGTCCTTCCCAGCACCTGCTTGAGATCATTTTTATGACCCTGGGGGTCATACAGATGGTCTTACAGATGGAAGGAACTGAGATTTAGAGAAGTCAGATAACTTGGGAAAAAAATTATAGGGCAAATGGCCAAGCTCTAGACTACATCTGGGTTTGCATGATGACCCTCAATGGACTCCTCAGAATAAGATCAGAATGAGATCATGCCCATCTCACTTCCCTCTTATTCTGTGGTTCTCAAGCCTATGTACGAGAGCAATGCAGGTAGCTCCAGAAAATACTGATGTCACTCAGACCAAGTGAATTCAGATCTCTGGAATGAGACCTCAGACACCCATGTTGTACTTTTTCATTGGTTCCCCAATTTCCTAGGTGATTCACGTGTGTCATGGCTGCCACAGTGAAGATTCTTGATCCATATCCTCTAGATGCCCAAGTCTTCCACACTTATAACATCTAACAATCACACACCTCTCTCTTCCCAAGGAAACATGTAATTTATCTACTTCCTGGAAAGGATTCTTATTTAATTGTGAAACACTTAACAGGAATTTGTGGCATTCATAATATTTTGTAAATCATTTCAGTGCTGGAATGATTTGGATTGTAATCCAAAAGATTTATGGACCCTGCCGTCTGACACCATTAATATTCCTCTCTTGCACCATCTTTGTACGTACAACTCATATTCAAAGGTGGAATATATCAATACTCTTCCACTATATATATAATACTTCTACCTATATACAACACTTAGATTTTATTCCTTACTCCCTGGCACTTGTTTTCATTTTTTAAGCATTACTGCATGGAGAGATAAGACTGTTTTCTTATAATTAATAAATTAAGAAGCAGAGGCACACATGACAGGAATAAAAATGTCAGTTTGTGACTTTATTAAGTCATCACACTTTAGAAAAGATACAGCAGGAGTATAAGTATCTTAACATTCTCTGGAAGAAATTAGGGCCTTTTCCAATGGTATCTATATTACAGAAGGTAAACTTTCCATAGTGGTCAGTGAACTTTAACTTCTTAATTGTTTTAGCCTTCCAGTAAAATTTCAAAAGCAGGCACTGTGCTGGTCTGAATTCCCTCAAAGTATTGGCATTTGTGTCTTCTTTTTGCATAATACTGAGGTCAAAGAGGCTTCGGTGGCAGCTGAATATGGGTTCAAATCTGAAATCATAAACTGTTCACTGGAAGATTTGTGATCTGAAATGCATCACTCAACAATTCTGAATCTAATTTCTATAAAGTAGAATGCTCACCTTTCCCTCTGACTTAGTGTGAATGGAATGAAAACTTACATGGAATGCCTAGGACATGGTCTAGATATCATTACATGTTAATTTCATTTAGCTCAGTGGGTAGGGCATTTGCCTTGCACTTGGCTGACCCAGGTTCGATTCTTCCGCCCCTCTTGGACAGCCCAGCAAGCTACCGAGAGTATTCCGCCTGCACGGCAAAGCCTGGCAAGCTACCTGTGATGTATTCAATATGCCAGAAACAGTAACAAGTCTCACAATGGAGACATTACTGGTGCCCGCTTGAGCAAAATCGGAACAGGGGGAGGACAGTGCTATAGTGCGACCAGGTTCATGTGCGAATTTGTACCACTTTGTTTACTTGCATTTGTGCCCCCTGGTGGTGACAGTGATGATAAGTATTAATTACCATCAAAGGAGAAAACCAGGAGCATTCAAGTTTTGAGTAGTAATGCTATGCAAATCCATACTTTGAAATTTGTAACACAGCAGGGGTATCCGAGGTGATCAAGATTCTGCATGCAATCATGAGAAGTGTACCTCATTGTAAAATGAGATTGCTTGTATCTCATCTATGTAATTATTTGATTAAGTAAAAGATCTCTGTGTTTAATAGCCAAAATACAGAATTCCTTTGGAGGGAAGAATCAAATATTCAATCTGAGAATAACTGTGAATTGAAATGTGAGTCTTCGTCTACCCTTGATTTATAAACATCAGCTGTTTCTTCTGTGGCAAGGAAGGGCTGGTGACTCACTGAAGCTTTATGGGGTCCTATTTACACGCTGATCTCCACCTTTCTCCATCCAGGTTCACTACAAAGCACTTGAATGATGAGTCGACTTCCAAACAGATTCGAGCAATGCTCCAGTAGAGCTGTATTCAAAGAAGAGGATCTATGTACTGACCTCAGAAGATGTATATGTTTACATAATTTAATACAGATTGATGTTAATACTTGTGTATTTACATAACCGTTTCCTTCTTGTCACTGAAATATATGGACCTTAATTTGTATCTTGACTCACTCAACCCCTTCAGAGCAGAAATTGACTTGAGAGCCTTACCTTTGATGTCTAAAACAAAACCCTCTTCTCCAAAGGCAAAATTTGGAGACTTTTGATTTTTGCTACTGGACTCCTTTAACTACACCTATAACAATCAGAAACCCCTAATAGTTTGTAGTAGTGTTTTAATTCTAGATCTGTAATCTCTCTGAGGAGTTATAGAAACACAGTCTTTGATTTGCCGTGTTAGCTCAGCTACAAGAAACACAAGTGTTACCCTGACATAGGAAGAGAGGAATTAGAGAGAAGAAAATGCATGTGGAGATGCAAACCCAAGTGTTTTGAATTCAGCACAACACCCCCCCCCCCCATTTCCTCAAACCACAGTGCAACTTTTTAATTTGCACATATATTATTTATTGTCATATTCTCTTCCTGTCAAAATTTACATGCCTCTAATATTCTCCTTGGGTTTTGCAAGGAGCAACTTAGCTGTGTTTGAAGCAGTTAGTAGGAAATAAGTGAAAATAGATAAATGTGCTGCCGAGGCTGGGCGAATGAATGTGGTTAACCTGAAAACTGGGATGATATAGAAAAAGAACATCTAAGCTGCAGGATAGTTCTCTCTTGCTTCAGCTCTGTCTACAGCAGGCTGGGGAATAGCCAATCAATCAGCAGGTCTGATGAGATCCACTGAAATCTTGTGGTCTGACCCTGTACTTGATGGGACAGGTGTATGCTTTTCATTGGTTACCTGTGGCCTGTCTATTTATATTGCATGGCCATAAATATTATGAATTTTCAAATATCCCCTGGCAGAATAAAAGGTCCTTCCCTCTACTCCCCCAGGTCTAAAATGGCAGGAACCCTGGCTTTGAAATGGTGGGGAAACTTGTCTGAACTCCAGTTATCTGTGGAGTGCTGGATGCACAGTTCTTCCTCTTCCTATAGACCATTTATGTGGTAGCACAGGTTTAGAACCACGTGAGTTGCTATAAACTGAGGATCTGGAGAGGAGAAAGCATTTGCATTATTTTATTACGTAGTATTTAAAGGGCAGGTCCTTTTCACTCTCACTGCTATCTTGTTGTAATGTGCAAAACTCTGGTCTGAGGACGTAGATTCATGCCTAGCCCTAACGATACATGGCCTGACTTGGGAATTTATCTAAGCTCTCTGTATATCACCTTCCCTAATTATATAGTGGGAAATTAAAGCAAACCATCTCCAAGATTCTTGTAAGGCTACAAGTCAATAAAATGACTATTCTCACATTCCTTGGTAAGTAAGGTCTAATAAGTATTATCACACCTCATTTTAATGATTAACAACATCACAAGGCCTATCTATAGTCATTCTGTCTTCAGATCCAAGCTTAGAGGGGAACCCTGTCAATTTTCCATTCTGATGTTTAGTGGGTAGACAGCAGATGATGTCAAACAGGATCACCCCAATGTAGGACTGGATCCCATACTTCCTCAACCTTCACTTCATGCTTTTTCCTTTTCACCATGTGGCCTATGCATATATCCTAAGGGATAAGACTGGACACTTTTAAATAAATCTTCATGGTGGCCTGTACAATTACTTGCCAATTTCCGATAGAAGGAAATAGTGCTTGTGAGTGACAATTCTGGAAGTTGGATCTGGGAAGATCATGGTTTGGTATCACTCACAATATTTCAGAAATGAGCCATTAGATACTGTTGTTTTCCAGACATTAGGGACCAGCTAACTTTCCCTGGAGTCCTCTAAGACAAGGGGAGACATATTCTTGTTTTGTTTTATCTTTAACAGAGAAATCTACTCAAGTGACAGATATACTGGTCTGCATCTAAATGTCTGTCAACCAGGAGAGAAAAGGCTCTTTCTTTAGGACTTTTCAAGATGAACACGTACAGTTGTTTGGATAAGAATCTCTTGTCAGAACAGAAATATGCTAGATGGCTTCCAAACCCAGAGACTCTAAGTTCTGAGAAAAATCCATAAAATGGAGCAACTTATAAAATATGCAGCTTGAGTAATGATCTATTTGATAGCAGGTGATAGTGATGAGCATAGCTTGTGGGCAGCTATAAATTTGAGCATCCTTGACAGCTGTCAAGACTAGAAGCCAAGAGAAACTCAGTGTTGCTCACATTGAGTTCAGTTTCCTTCTTCATCATTGAGGAGGTTTGGGGAGGTAAAAGGGCATGCAGAATAAATAGTTGAATAGATTTATCATTTTTATTCAGAATTTCTATTAAATTGGACCAAACATAGGAGAAGGCTGCTGGCCTGCCCCAATTTAACCAAGCCATCTACTCAAAGCCAGATTCATGTGTAGTACATGGATTCGTAACAGCCCAGACCCTGAACTATTGCCTCTGATGACCAGGAGGATAGATTAATTGAATGTCTGTGATCACTAGTAAGTGATGGGCCTTTGCCCACTCTAGAGTACTTGTGGGAGACAAATTCTTTTAATATGCTGTCCTCTAGGCATTAGAAGTCTTTCAGCAATCATATTTATGTCTGTATGTGCTGCATGCACATGTGTCCAAGACTCATGGATGGCAAAGGGCAATGTGCTGGAGATGCATCCATGTCAGTGTTAACTCTTTCATATTTGGTGTCTCATAGGTTTCAAATAAACAGTGTTTTCCATTACTCAGATATTTATTTTTGGGCAAACAACAAGGTGAAAATAACTTTTCTTAGATGCACTGCTACACTGGCATTATAACTTCATTCTCGTAACAGTTTATGTGCCACTAGGAGTTGGTAGTAAACAAAAGTTAAAGTGGATATGGGTATTTTAAATTATAGTGACCCCTTAGGACTAGAGTTTTAATTAACAGAACAGCCTGGGTACTATATTTTAATGTGTTACTTAATATTATGTTCCATCAATATTCATTCCTAGGGATCGCTATTATGTCAAGATATAAGTAAACTGAGAATTTTTTGATGCATCATTTCACTCAAGTAAAAACAATTTCGTGCTTCTTCAAAAGAAAAATTAGACCTATTCAATCTTAGCAACCAATTGTGATGTACAATTCAGAGACTTATGATTTAATCTTGTAGCCTAGCAGCTATAACTTTTTCCAGATATTACAATAAATATTGGAATTTTATCTTAAGAAAGCAAAATCTGTGCAACCTAGTGTCCCCACTATATCTTTAAAGGCTGTTGCATACACAAAGCTGTTTTGAAGTTGTCATATGTTGTTTGCGGAAGTCATTGTAATTTTTTTTGCCTGCTTTGCCTCTTTTTGTACAGAAGTTTTCAGTGTGAAATGAAAATTAAAGTTTGGTACATATATTTAAAAACACACCTCTATTTAATGTGATGCTCAAGTTTGAGTGCATGATAAACACATGATCATACATACTTGCTAAAGGCTTATATTTGCTTAGCAACTGCTCTGAGGATCAGGAAATCACTGTGTCTTCTTTACCTCTCTAAGCCTTAGTTTCTTCCTAAATAGCACCAAACATACAAAATATACTGCTATGGGTAAAGGTAAAGGTAAAGGTAAAGGCCCTCCCGTTGATCGTCGATTTGCTCGAGCGGGCCCAGTAACGTCTCCATTGGAGACTTTGTTGTTACTGTGTTTGGCATATCGAATATTCTCCGTAGCTTGCCAGGCTCTCCGAGAGGGGCGGAGGAATTGAACTCGGGTCGGCCATGTTGGCCACTTGTAAGGCGAACGCCCTACCCGCTGTGCTATCGCTCCAGCCCATGGTACCAGCTATATTTTTATCATTTCACCAAAAATACTTTATTAGAAAAAGACATCAAATAAACAGGACAGGAGTGATAGAAATATATTAGACTGTTTTTCTAAGTATATTAAGAAACCTGAACAAATTCATTTCCATCTTTTGAATGCAAAAATATTTTATGGGTTTAGAAAAAATAAGCACATAATCTATTTCCTATATAAACAAATTTTAGTCAACCCAAGCTCTAAAGTCATTATTTTAACTACTGAAAATTGAAACATTTAGAGTACGGCTTTTTTGTTTTGTTTTGGGGACACACCCAGTGGTACTTACTCCTGGCTTTATGCTCCTGTATCACTCCTGGCAGACTCGGGGGACCATATGTGGTGCTTGGGATTGAATCTGGATTGGCCATATGCAAGAAAAGTGCCCTATCTGCTATCTCTCTGGCCCCTATAGCATCAATTTGAATCTCTTCCTCTCTTAAACTGTTGCCTGATTGTGTGCGTATTGGTCAAGATCTCCAAGAAAGCCCTTCTGTGGTGACAAAGACAAAGGAACAATAATTAAGACTAATTGGGATTCAGTGGGAAATGAATAAAAATGGGAAATTTGCTGTAAGCTGACACACGAGTGATAAGCAAAAGATGAAAGGAGAGGAAAGGAAAGTGGAAGAGAGAATGAGAATGAATGTGCATGTTTTTTTAATTAAATGAATATTGGGAGTCAATGACATGGAGAATAAATGAGAAGCAGAGTATATGTTTGGTAGAATGTAATTGATAAATAGAGTATAATTGACAAAAGAGGTACAATTAATGAGTAATTGACTAATTTTATAGCCAGAAATTTGATGGTAAATTGTTATTTTCTTGGAAGATTAGGGGTGAAGAATTTAGCCGTTCACATTTATAAAACCTAGAAATATTTGCAATCCTAATCATACCTGATTTTATGCCTAGATTTATCAGTGAGTAAAAGTATAGAAATTATCGGTTTGAGTGACGTACATACTGTATATTTGGCAACCACAAATTAAAAAACATGACTTTATTCATGCTGTTTATATTCATTAAGTGCATTAATCTTCCTAATACCAAAACTCTGGTCTCTGCTTGCAACATTTCTTTCCCCACTTTTCACTGAGAATGTCCACAAGATATATCTTCACAGTAAATGAAGACAGGTCTTGGGCATTCTATCTGCTTCAGCTCAAAAATCCAACCCCAAACAAAGAGATTGAGGTGGGAAGTAAGAGTAAGATGAGAATAACAGGACCCCCCAGGTACATCAGTGGTATAGAGGAATGGTATAGTTATCCAACCAAATTGCAGTTGATAACACTGCAAGCAGGAGATCCAAACCACAACCAAACTTTAAAATGTGCCTGTCGAAAAGACAAGCTGTGGGTGGAAGCATGGGAGGGAACCTGGGGACACTGGTGGGAGAAGTTGACAGTAGTGGTGGGGCTGGTGATGGAACATATCATGATCACTATCATCCTGTTCATCGATTCCTAGAGCAGGCACCAGTAACGCCTCCTTCGTCCTAGCCCTGAGATTTTAAAGTGACATATTCAAGGCTCTTTCAGGGTTAGGAGAATAAGAATGGAACATAGTATGCTTAAAACTCAACGATGAAGAACTTTGTGAACTATAGTGTCTTAATAAAAAATAAAAACTTAAAACATAAAAGAAGGGAACTGCTTTCAAGTCATATCAACTTCTTGGGACAGGGGAAGTATACTTCCTGCACTTTTATTACACTATCAACTGTTTTGTTTTCTGTTACATAATTGTCTGGAAAATATGAAGGTGTTGGAGATAGAGGTTCTAAAAATACCTTTCAAATGTCTCCATCAAAATAATTTTTGAAATTGTGATAGATTTTAGATAAGTGTAACAACAGTTTACTTGGTGGTTAAGTGTTTAAAGTGAGTGTCCTTGTTAACTTGGTAAAGCTTTTGTCTATAAAATTTCCCACTTTCACCTATCACATGACACATTTTTAGATCCTGCCTCATCTTTGCCTTCACTTTCTACTCATTATTTTTGCACATGAAAGGTTTAGTATCTATCTGTCTGTCTATATCTTTGGTTTGGGGGGAACATCCAGAGGTGCTTTGGGCTTACTTATCAATGACTCTGGTCATTTATCCTGAAATAACAGACTCCTGACTTTTCACCCCAGGCACAGGGATCACTCCTAGTAAGGCTTAGGACACCATATGGGGTACTGGGGATAAAAACTGTTATTCATATGCAAGGTAAACATCCTACCTGCTGTACTATCCAACCTCAAAGAGCTATATATTTTTTATTTATTTTTTTATTAGTGAAACACCATGAGGTACAGTTATAGACTTACAAATTTTTGTGCTTGGGTTTCAGTTATACAATGATCAAATACCCATCCCTCCACCAGCACCCATCCTCCACCACCACGGGTCCCAGCATCTCTCCGACCCCCATCCCCTCATCCCACCTTGCCTCTGTGGCAGGGCATTCCCTCTTGTTCTCTCTCCTTTTGGGTCCTATGGTTTACAAGAGAGGCATTTAATGGCAATCATGTTTGGTCTATAGTCTACTTTCAGCATGCTTCTCCCATCCTGGGAGGATCCTCCCAACACCCTTTATTTGGTGCTCCCTTCTCTATCTGAGCTTCCTTTTCCCCTAGCACGTGTGGCTGGCCTCCAAGTCATGAAGCAAAATTCCTGGTACTAATCTCGGCCACTCCTGGGCTTTAGTCTCCCATTTTGTTACTTTTTGTTCCCCAGATGAATGCAATCTTTCTGTGTCTATCCCGTTCTTTCTGACTCATTTCGCTTAACATGATATTTTCCATGTAATACTACTTGTATGTAAATTTCATGCCTTCATCTTTTCTAACAGAAAGAGCTATATTTTAATCACTAATTTAAAGCTACCCAAGATATAAAATCTTAAATATTGTGAATTATGAATCAGCAATTTTAGAAGGTTCCTTAAATCTTGAAGAATCATGTTTCTAGGAAGTATTAACAGTATTAGGGAATTCCATAAAGTTATTTTTTTCAAACGCAAATAGATTTTAAAGGGATTTTCTTCATTTTTTTCTGAGATAAGTCTTACCGTCATTATGGGGTTATGGAAAGTTGGGATTATATGTCAATGTGGAGGGAGACAATGAAAGGGTAAGGAGCTCTATGAAGAACCAGGTGAGTATTTGCTTTCTCCTAAATGTGCCGCGAGTATGTCTATACTTACACTTATGTCATACTGGTGCACAATCTCCTCACTATCTATCTTAAACTTTACTTTAACATGAAGAATTAGGATTTGGAATGTGGGGAGAGGTGTTGTTTAGTTTTGGGATTACACCTAGTAGCCTATAGGTCCTACTCCTGGCAGTGTGCTAAGGAATCACTCCTTAGGGACCATATATGGTGCCATTGATCAAACCTGACATCAAGAGTTAGGTTATATTTTACCCCCAGTATGAATATTTTCTTAACACCCCAGTCAATGCAATAACTCTCTTCTTGACTCATCCTGAACTTTATATCTAAGTAGACATTATCACCCAGTGTGTTAAACTATGTTAGGCTTTATTTTTCACTATATTTTAAATTTCTCAGTGCAGAAAATGTGCCTTTGAGAGGGTCTATATAGACACAGGCCATTGACCAATGCTAATTGCCTAGAAAAGGGGATATCAAGATCCTGCAACCCGACTATGCTGAAATGAAACATTGCAAATTAATGTCTCCATCTCAAAGCTATCCCAAGTAATAAATTATCTGATCTCTTGGCTGGTCAATTTTATTCCTGGAGGAAATATTTACCTACCTGTCAGGATATTTTTAACCTCTGTAGACACAGAGCTTGCAGCTGATCTGCCAGGAGTCCAGCTGAGAAATCAGTATGTTTTCTTTGTCAAAAGTCAGAGTCAGCTAGTTCTGGCAAGGGCACTCATGCTAGTCAGATGAAGTCTGGCTCAGTCTGGGACAAGGCTGCTACTCTATCAGAGAGCTGAGCGGGAGAGAGAGGAAAAAGTGCAACTGAAGCAGAAAATTTACAATAACTAGACAAATCAATTCAGCACCTTGGATAGCAATCTAGAATTGGGGTCTTTAAAAGACTCTGGCCATTTATTCTGAAATATACAGATCCTATTAGCTGGTAAAAGATTGTCTCTAGAACGCTGTTATCAAATTTAACACATACATTCTAAGCACAAATTTACTAGATTTTTTTAAAGCTTTTTTCCTTTGTCCTGGATAAACATAGTTTGGGAAAGTCACAGGGAATTAATTGTTTTAGGTTCCCATACTCATCATGGTTTTAGATTAAAGTCAAACTTAATAGAACTTTTCCCTTATCCTTTTACCCTTTTTATCCTTTTACCCTTATCCTTTATATAAACATATCAAAATTAATCACATCCCCAATCTACGCTGCATTATTTACTTCAGGGTTCATCATCACTTTTTAGAACATCCCTTGTCTCGTACCATAATTTTCTACATAACCAACACACTTCTCATGCTCTTCGTTTGCTTCTTGCACATTTTCTTAAATGTAGTCTGGGAGATTTAAATTGCTTATTCAAATGTTTGTGAAATA